TTTGCTAATGATATTTATTACTTTTTTAATTATAAGTATGCAAAATATAAATCATAAAATAATAATAATAATAATAATAATAATAATAATAATAATAATAATAATATTATTTTATTCACATAATAATTGTTTTACATATTTATATTAAAAAATAAATTTAGTTGGACCTTATAATGAAAAGTTAACTAAAATGTAAGCCTTAAAGTGAGAATAACCTAAAATATAAGCCTTATATTATAAAAGTAAAAAATTCAGGCCTTAGATTAATACAATTAATAAAAGTTAGGTCTTCTAGTAGAATTTCCCCTTAATTTTATTTTAGACATGTTTGAGGTTTACAAATGTATTGTTATTTTTGAGATATCAATATGGTAAAACCAAGTTTGAAAAACAAAGCCTTCTGCAAACCTGATGATAAATATAAGTTAAAAAAACACAACTATGCAAACTTGATAAATAAATAATAATAAAAAAAGAAAAAAAAAGGTTGAAATGGAAGAAATGGAAATATTACACTACTACTAACTATACCCTCGTTGCACTTTCGTACTTTAATTGTTTTTTACAATTGGTAACTATGTTTTTTTGGTAATTTTAGCCCAAAATGACATTCCGGTGCTCATTTTAGCCGGAATAGCTGACATGACGCCCAGTCAGATTATAGTTTTGATTTCCGGCATGATGTGGCACGAGATGGGTCCAAGTGTTTAGACACATGGACACATAAATGACGAAAGTGCGACGAGGGTATAGTTAGTGGACAAATAGTGCAATTTTTCCACAAAATAATATTAAAAAAAAAAGAAGAAAAAGCTTTAAATTCTACATGTGAAGACATGGGGATAAAAAAATTAAAAAAAAAAAGAATATTAATTAATAAAAAATTATTTGTTTAATGATTTTAAACAAAATAAAAAAATATTATTTTTTATTTAATAAAAATACATTTTTTATTTAAGTAAAAATGAAATATTTAATGAAATAATTATCATTTTTTAATTTTTTATTTAATAAAAAATCATTTTTTATCAAATAAAACATTTTTTATTTATTAAAAACGAAATATTTAACGAGTCATAAATATGTTTTATTTAATGGTTAAATATTTAATAAAGAAAACGAAATATTCATCATTTTATTTGTTGAATGAAAAAATATTTTTTTTATTTAAATAAAAAACAAAATATTTAATGATTAAATAAAAACAAAATATTTAATAAAAAAAGAAATATAAACGAAATTCATATTTCATGAGTAATAAATATTTTTTATTTAATGGTTAAATATTTAATAAAAAATGAAATATTTAATAAAAAAAGAATTATTTTTTTTATTAAATACTTAATCATTATATAAAAAATATTTATAACTCATTATAATTTTATTTCTTTTTTAAATAATTTTTTTTTTTTGTTTTTTATCCCATGTCTTCACATGTGGAATTTAAAGTTTTTCTTATTCTTTTTATATTATTTTGTAAAAAATTGC